ATGGGGAGAGCCCAATTAGATAGGAAACATGAAAAACCTCTGATATTTATAAAATCATTTTTACGTGCAAAATGCAACCTTAATATGTGAAGTGAACCCCCATTCCCCAAAGCAATTAAACCGTCATGACTTTGCAATTTGGCACATCCTAGCTTGTTAGAGAGCACTTTCGAAAAACACAGCCCCGACAGCAAAATAAATACCTGATATCTTGGCCCCTTCTGTGAAAACAACACTCCCAAATCCTGAAACAAAACCTGAAGTGTCTTCATGTGCATTCTCTGGCAGGCCACAGTCCTTCTGACCTTGTAAGATGGTGCAGCATGCAGACCAGCCTTGTCCCCAAGGTCTCAGTGCTGCAGTCTCGCTCCTCCCCTCATTTAAGAAGACCACCCTTTTCATTTCAGCAGTCCTCACCACCACCATATCCTTTGTGCTGGGATGGCACACAGGTGTCCATTCAGATGAGAGTCGGGTTACTCCTACAGAGTGTAATCAGCACCCCATCCAACTGGCCCGAAAGCCCAGACCTGCAGCAGAACTCTCCAACTCTATCGGCTTTCAGGGTGTTCTCTCCTGGGAAGGGTGTAAAATCAGCTTGTCAGCATCTTCTTACAGAGAGTACCCCATCTGTATTGGTGGGGCGGCTCCCTCTTTATACATTAGGAAGCATGGGTGCTTAGAAAGTTTATTTCAGGAAGAAAATGGGTTCACACAAAAAGCAAACTACGATCTGCTCAGGGAGAAGCTTGCCTTTGAACTGGAAGATGTTGGGATAAGCAGGGAAAGCTTCGACTTTGGAGTCAGGTTTGTGTTCAGAATCCAGCCCTGCTGGCTAGTAAGTGGGAGACCTTAGGCAAAGCATGCAATCGCTCTGAATGGCAGTTTCCTCATTTTTAAATGAGGATGGTAAAACTAACGTTGCAGGGGAGTTACAGGGTTAAAGAAGATCCTGTGTGTAACCCCAAGCATTGGATGACTCATTGAATGGCCTTTCTTGTCAGCATAATTATCATCATTATTTAGATACTTTCTTCCTTCACTCACCTGGCAGGTCAGTTTTCTGTGCAAACAAGCCTCCTGTGTAGGATTCTTCCAAATGGTCTTCCTGGAGTCTTTGATATTTGTTACATCCTGCTGAAGTTCGATTGTGTTTTTATTTTTTCATCCACCTTCCATTGTTCACTTTTTACATGATTATTCAATCCTTGGGGCTGTCCATGTCATCTCTTAGATTTATTAAAAGACATTTTAATGTATGATGAGGTTTTATATTTTTGTTTTAAAAAAAAGAAATAGTCATTGTTTTCCTCCTTTGAACTGAGGGTATTTCTGGATTGTGTGGTCCTCGTCAGTCGACTTGTTTTGCACACTTTTCTTTACTTCACGTCTCCATCAACAACCAACCTACTCCCCACCTCCCCCAGGAAATAATGGGCCTGCTCCTCTCCTCACTGTGACCCTGGAGGCTCTTAAGATTTTTTTTTTTTTTTTACTGGGCTGAGTTCACAAATTAGGGGCAGGAGCTGGAAGTTGCTCTAGGAACACCAGATTTTCTGGTTCTGTTCAAATTGGCATTTCTTGTTTGGAATAAACTTATTTCTTGGACATTCCTTCTCACCACTTTGTTCTTACTTCAGGGTTGGGTGGGATGGGCCACGTTCCTCTTAGAGTGAAGAGACTCAAGTTTAATTAGAAACACAGAAATGGCCATGGTTGGTGGTGTGGACACCAAGCCAATGATGAAATGACAGCCCACAGATGAAATCAAACTTAGCTTGGCAATTCGAGACTCTACCTAACTTGATCACAATCTACATGATTATTGTTACTATTTTGTATTTCCTAAGGTACCATCTATTCACTAAGGAAAAAGTACAGAAAATTCTTCATCAAGAGAAAGACACTTTAACATTCCCTCACATTACCACTCAAACCTTTATACAGCACACACGCACAGGTGCCAATAAACCAGTATTTTCCTTTTCATACCGACTTTTTGATTTTCCACTTTCCTGCTTTCATTCGTCCTGTCCTCTCTATTGGGGATGCCTTTCAGCGCTCATCTGTACATGTTAAAATTCCCATTTCTCAAAGGCCAATTCCATTTCTCCCATGATGTCTTCTGGGGCTCATGGCACCACCCACCCAAGCTAGACGCCACCTCCTCCACGAACTCTCGCACACACTTGCTGTCACTCATGGCTCTGCTTGCTTTACATCATGCCTTTGCTTGCTGACAACTGCAGCATCACGTTACTCTCACCCATGCCTCACCCTCCTCACCTTCAGGCTCCCTCAAAGAAGCCGGGTCAGATTCATGTCCATCTCCTGATCCCACCCTCCTGTCCTGACAGTGCCTGGCTCCTAAAGGAGCAATCAACAAACTCTGCTTAGGGACGACTTACTTCTGGCACCCTCCTGTCTTCCACCTGGCTCCACTGTCACTTCCCAGAGCTTTTTCCTCTGCAGGTCCCAGTGTTTTCCCAGGGGCTACCCTCCAGTGGCATGCCCAGTCCCCATTCACCCCCTTCAGAGCCACCTTTCCGTGATCTCCAAGTTCCAAATGAGTTTCGCCCTTCCCTCATCCGAACCTCCACTCCCAGTAAAGCACTGCCAAGAAAGCAATCTGATTAAAGAAACCCATTCCCACGCAAGAATCTGTGTTAGGATTTACCTTATGAATGGGAATTCAGGTGCACCGGGACCAGCTGCAGACCAGTGGTGCACCAGGACATGCTGACAATACCGAGTCAGGACCCATGCTGTGAGTCACAAGGATCTAGAACTTTTGTCTGTAGCCAGACCAGCCATGCCTGTTGATTTCTGTATAGTCTATGGTTGTTCTCTTGCTACAACTGCAGTGCTGAGCAGCTGCAACAGAGACCCTGTGGCCCACAATGCTGAAAATATTTACCGCCTGGCCCTTTAGAGAACAAGTTGCAGAGCCTTGATCTAGAAGACACATCTGGGACACTAAGTGGGCGGATGGCAAATGCACATTTGCTTCACTCACCTGCAAAAGCCAGTGGGTCTCAGAGCTTGGCAATTCAGCCCTGTGGGTTCCCAGTGGGAAGAATTTGCAGGGGAATGTATAGTCGATTTGCCCTCACCAGTTGACCCCTGAGCTTTTTCCAAACTGGAGCCTTAACCAATAACACTTCCCAGGTCAGTATTATTGAAAGTCTCTGTATTAGTCCGTTCTCACATTGCTATAAGGAACTATCTAAGACTGGGTAATTTATAAAGAAAAGAGATTTAATTGACTCACAGTTCCATAGGCTGTACAGGAAGCCTGGCTGGGGAGGCCTCAGAAAACTTGGAATCATGGCAGAAGGTAAAGGGAAGCAGGCATGTCTTACATGGCTGGAGAAAAAGAAAGAAAGAGTAAAGCAGGAGAGATGCTACATACTTTTAAACAACCAGATCTTGTGAGAGAACTCACTATCAGGAGAACAGCTAGAGGGAAATCCACCCCCATGATCCAGTCACCTCCTGCCAGGCCCCTCCCCCAATATTGGGAATTACAATTTCAAATGAGATTCGGGCCGGGTCCCATGGCTCACGCCTATAATCCCAGCAATTTGGGAGGCGTGAGGATCACCTGAGGTCAGGAGTTCGAGACCAACCTAGCCAACATGGTAAAACCTCATCTGTACTAAAAATACAAAAAAATTAGCCGGGAGTGGTGGTGCATGCTGTAATCCCAGCTACACAGGAGGCTGAGGCAGGAGAATTGCTTGAACTCAGAAGACAGACATGGCAGTGAGCTGAGATCACGCCACTGCACTCTAGCCTGGGTGACAGAGTGACATTCTGTCTCAAAATAAATAAATAAATACATAAATAGATAAGATTTGGGTGGGACGTAAATCCAAATCGTATCAGTCACCCTCTTCTTGTGAACGTCCTCCCATGGAACCAGGCCCTCCCAGAAGTCCGCTACACAGTCTCTGCTTCATGTAGTTTGGTTTCCATGGCACTTGTCACATTGCCCAGTTGATGGTTTTGTGCCCCACTTCTCCCCGCTGGAGGCTGTGGGCTCCATAGGGTGGGCTGTGCACAGGCAGCCCCCAGCACAGAGCTGCCTCAGGGTGGGTCCTCAGTGGATACGGAAGTTGCACAGACATGCTCACCCCAGCCCCTAACTTGAGCCACGTTTAGCAAACACGTGTCACCTTGATGATTCAGCCCACGCACTGTGCCTCTTCTGTGGCATCATTTGCTATCTGTCCCCTTTCCTCTTCCCATCTCAAACATGAAATCACAGCACAGTCTCTTCCATTAGCGACTGCCACAAAGAACAGATATCTGTTTCTTCCTGGGTGATCACAAACATGATTAATGGATTTCCCTGTCGGTGTTTCTGTGTTTCATGTTTATCCCCTGCCACTCTCAACACACGTTTTCTAATTCTTTCCACCTAGCAGGGGGAGTGGCGAGTCACACATGAGCCTTTCCCAGGCAACATAGCTGCCATCCTTGCATCATCCTATTTCTAAAAATCCATTTGTGCAACCACCTTCTGTGCTTAATTCAATAGCATTTTCTAAATAGAAATTAATTTCACACATTGCTTTAGTCTGAATGTTTGTGTCCTTTTAAATTTCATATGTTGACATGTCAACCTCCAGGGTGATGATGTTGAGAAGTAGGGTCTTTGGGAGGTGACTGAGCTATAAGGGTGGAGCCCTTATAAACAGAATTAATGCCCTAAGAGGTCCCAGAGAACTCTCTGGCCCCTTCTACCATGTGAGGACACAGGGAAAAGGTATCAAAAAGCGGATCCTGCCAAGACACCAAATCAGCCATAATCCTGAACTTCCCAGCCCCCAGTACTGTGAGAAGTAAATTTCTGCCATTTATAAACTACTCAGTTTATGATCTTTTGTTATAGCAGCCTAAACATACTAAGACACGCATCATATTTTTAATCCTTAACAATTAAGAGTGAGGTTGGGAAGTTCTCTAACAGAGTTTTGGCTAAGACCAAGAGAAACCTGAGTCCTGCCTGACCAATCAGCTTTCTCCATCTGTCTCAAAGCTCTTTTCTGTTCCCTACCACCACACCATGTTCCCAAGAGAGTTAGGGAAACCTCAAAATAGGAATCAAAATGACTATATCAATATTGAAGGTCAAGTCAAAGCAAGAAGCACAGTACCAAAGCCTTAGCAAGGCCCTGGAATCATCCCAAAATTTCACCTTGGTACCAGCAGACTCAAGGGTGCCAAGCACAGCAGCCCAATCCATTAGTAATAGTGGCCCCATCAATGGCTCAGGTTCAGACCTATCAGAAGGGACATTTCTCTTTCATTGTGGGAGAAATGAGTAAGGTACAGACACGACTGGCAGAGGAAAATGTGCAGAGATTCCCTTCTAAGCTGTCAGAGAGTCCTATTCTCTCACAGAAACCAAAATCAAATAACCCAGAATGTATTCACTTGCCTTCTAGACATCTTCTTCCATAGAGTTTCCCCGCTCACTCTTTGTGGTCATGACAAGAATGTATTGGTGGATATGCTTTTCTATATGACATTTTATGTCTATACCTCTGAAGTATTAGCCCCAGAGCCCTCCAAACCTCCATCTTGGAGGGCTCTGGATGTTACTAAGGTCTTGACACTGGCCCACCTGCCCACACAATAACAGGGCGACCCAGAGAGGGGAGCTACCTTGGTGTGCTCAATGAACGCCTCCTTTGCCAAGACCAGCAAGTTGGAAAAGAGATGATGGAGGATGCATTCCAGGCAAAGAAGACCAACAGGCAAAGGGCCCTGAGTTCAGAGTTACCCTCAGTTCTTCCAAGAACAGTAAGGAGGCCAAGGTGCTGGAACTTAGTGAGTTGACTGAAAATTGGTACAGATGTGGCTGCTGAGCCAAGCAGGACCAGATTATGGAAGTCCTAGGGAACCCCAGGGAAGATTTTGGATTTGTGTGATGAGATGCCCTTGAACTGTTTAAGGAGGGGAGTGGCTACTGTGTAGACAAAAGACAATGGGGTAGGGGTAGGGACAAGGGTAGAAACTGGGAGGATATCAGTTGGATAGATGAAACAGCAATCCAGGAGAGACACCATGGCGGGGTGGCTCAGTGGGGGAAGCCTGAAGATGTAGATGGATCAGTGATGTAGAGCATATCACCATGATCTACCACTACATCACAGTGGCTCTCAAACAGATGGATTTGAGACATTTCTGGAGAACTTGAAGGTTGGATTCAGGTGATAAAGGAAAGGAGCAGGATTTTAGCATCAGAATGATCTGGCTGTGTTACCTTGGACCAGTAACTAGAGATTTCTGAGCCCCAGTAATAATATGTTAGAAAACCAGCGTACAGATTAAATAAAATCATGTATTTAGAGCTCCTATTGCCTGACACGCAATATACTCTGTGACACATGTCCTTCATCTCTCTTGCAAGAGCAATAAAAGCTTTAGAAGCTTTGGGTTGAGCTCTTTTCTCCCATCTGCTTCTCTTCTTAGGGAGTTGGCTTTCCTTCTGCCCAACGCCCATATCCTGCCTCTTCTTCCCCTTCACTCCCTGATTCCCATACTTTACCTCTCAGATAAAAACATCAGCCTTGCTGAAAGGAGATCTTAGTAAGAGTCTCCACTGAGGT